CATAGTTTGCAACAATAAAAATGTTTTCAGTGTATATATTACACAAAAATTGACAAAGTGCAAAAAATAACACACTTAAGATATATTTTTGATGTTTATTTACATTAGGCTGAAAAAAAAAAACACATTATGAAAAACCAGAAAACCCCAAATCTTTAGTTTAAAAATTGTTTTCCCCTGCAGTGTCTTGCTTAAATGCACCGTACTGTTACCAGTACAGCACAAAACAGTATTGACCCCAAAACCAATGATTTTGTAATATTGAGTCAAAATAGAGCGGCCTCTTACTGTTTAACCATTGACTTCCAGACACATCATTAATATTTTTTTCAAACAGCGCTGTGCTCTAATCCTGGCTGATATTCAAACCTGGCAATCAAAGTTTAACAAGTTGCGTGTTCACTGGTGATTCTTGGCTAAAATAGTCCAGCTGAAGCCCTGATGCAATGCGCAGGTAACCCAGAAAACTGTGTAAACCTCATGATTTGCATCACTCTTCTGTGTATAATAACAGTACTGCGCAAAATAAAACTCCTACGACTGCATTTGTTATTTCTAAAATGTCAAAAACGCATCAAGACAATGTTGTTGTTGTTTACTGCATCAAACTGTGTGCATGTTTGTGTGCGTAAAGTAAAAAGCATGAAAAATGAGAAAGGTTGAGAAGATGCTTTTCAGGATGCCTCATTAAATGAATCGCCGTTATCGTTGCCGCTTGGGAAATTATGCATCTGAATAGGCACATATGTTTCAGTAATTTGACAATTAGGAGTAGCTCCTAATTACAAAATTACTAAAAGCAGCAATGTGCACGTTATTGTGATTGTAACCTTGACTTTCTTCAATAAATACTGAGAGAAAATAAGCATTCTTCATTATTGTCTTAATTAAATCTAGTTAAATGAGCAGAAAAGCTGCCAGAGGTGTGAGAATGAGAGAATAACACTGTTTTATCACTGTTTATACTGCATCACTTAGAAAATGTCTGACAACTTTATAAATAATGTAAATATAAAGAAATCTTTACCAGAGTGCTGTTATATTGTGCTTATTAAATCAATACTATTTCACTTTAAAGAAAAAACAAACAAACAAACAAAAATGATCAGAATTGACTTGTTTTCCAATAAAATATGAACATACCCAATATATATATTTTTAAAAAATTTTCCCAAATTTCTGTTTAATGGAGGGAAGATTGTTTCAGCACATTTCAAGCATAATAGTTTTAAAAACTTATTTCTAATAACTGATTTATTTTATCTTTGCCATGATGACAGTAAATAATAATTTACTTGATATTTTTCAGGAGACTTCTATACAGCTTAAAGTGACATTTAAAGGCTTAACTAGGTTAATTAGGTGAACTAGGCAGGTTAGGGCGTTTAGGCAAGTTGTTGTATAATGATGGTTTGTTCTTTAGATTATCGAAAAAAAATTAGCTTAAAGGGGCTAATAATTTTGTCCCAAAAATATGGCCAAAACAGTAATACTGTAAAATGATTGAAACTGGAAAAATGTATTATTATATTATATAACTTTAAGCTTTGAGCTATATTATATTATAAAACTTAAACCTATGAGCGTATCATGCTCACCAAGGCTGCATTTATTTAATCAAACATACAGAACATATTGTAAAATTGTGAAATGTTATTGCACTATAAAATAAATGTCTAAAAATAGTTTATGATTTAATTTAACTTATTATTCCTGTGATTTTTAGGACAAATTTTCAGCTTTATTACACCAGTCTTCAGAATCACATGATCCTTCAGAAATCATTCTAATAATACTACTACTACTACTACTACTACTACTACTACTAATAATAATAATAATAATTAGTAGTAGTAGTAGTAGTAGTAGTAATAGTATTAATATTATTATTAATGGTATTAAAAGTATAATAAATAACTAACAATAAAAAAATACATTTAATAAACACCACCTTGATGAACAGAATAATTTTCAAATTTAAAAAAAAAAAAAACTGATTTTAATCTTTTGACCGGTAGTGTATAATAAAATTATATCTCATCTATGGTGCCTAAAAATTTCTTCTTATTATTTTTTACTGAAATACAGTGGTGTATTTATAATTGTATTTTTTTCCTCTAGTTGGGCAGTTAAAAATCATTTTAATTAGCTGAATTAATAATATGATCAATGTCAACACTGAAAAATTATTATTTTTATTATTATTATTTTTAGATTCAGTACTTTTTTCTTGAAGCATAAACTCTACTTAACTTTTTTAGGTTCATGTCTGAAAAAAACAAAAACAAAAACCCCTCTGGTAGTCTTCGGTCATTGTAGAGCAAAATAATTTGGTTTTTGAAATGTATAAAAATGACAGAATCATCGGAATGATCTAAAATTCCTTGAATTTGTTGGCGTTTGATATGCAAACACACAAAAAAACATAGCTCATGACTTAAGCCTAATAATTGGTTGTTAAAAAACAGTCACACTTGTGGTCTCCATGGTCAAAAATGACAGCTGTATGAAATTAATGGAAGCTAAGCAAAAATATGAACATTTAGAGAATATTCAGTTTGACAGAATAGTTGACAGGTTTAATTTATTGTTTACTGACAGGTTTGATTTATATAATGGATTCATTATAATGAAGGAAATAATAGCAAGTTAATATGTATAGGCTTTAATACATCTTTATATGTAATACAACTCTTTTTACATTTAATAAATGTATAACACTATATTCATAATTCACTTCAGTGATTGAATAGTATTTATTTGCTAAATTAAATAACAGCCATTATTGTTTTAACTAATTATTTTAATTTACATAATATGAGAACCAAAACCGCACAGATGTTAAAATTATCATAATAATGAAATGATGACTGAAATGGGAAACTCTAAACTGTTCACAGTCACCGACGGTCTTGATCGCCATATTTGTGAAATACAGTAGGTGGCAATAATGCTCTTAAAGAGTTAGTCATCGCAAAAAAATAAAATAAAATAAATAAATAAATAAAAAATAGAAGACTGATCCGTCATTGACCATATATGGTTCGCCCCTTCCTAGATCGTGTGTCCTGAATTGTGTGTGCTGAAACGTGTGTGGGTCTGCAGCTGGATATATCTGGGAAATTCTGCAATAATTAAATAATAATGAAAAATTCAAAATGACAAAAATAACATTGTTTTCAATTAGGAAAAATGGATGTTAATTACTGCATAAATATTAATTATTAGCACAAATCCCTTTCAAAATAATATAGAAAAATATTATTAAAAAAAAAAAAAAAAAAAAAAACAGAGGGTACTTTAGAGGCATTTGTCCCATTTTGACCGCAAAGACCACAAGTATGATTCACAAATAAGGAACACCAGAGGGTTAAATAAATTTAAAAGAGGAAAACAAGCAATTCTGACATTTCGTATTTACTGGAAAGCAAACCAAAGACAGTGCAAACATAGGACTTCTAACAAAATATAAACAAGAACCCTAAAACTAATAACGATGTAACAGAAAATGATCCATAGTTGACAGAACTACAGAAAAAGCAGTTCTGTCTGATCTGCTGTCATCTTGATTTATGTATCAGTGACAAAAAAAAACAGTCCTGAGAACGCTTAGCTTTTCCCAACACCGTAAAGCTAAATGATCCATTACATTCTACAGCCTCACAATCCTCGTCTGTCCAAAGCTAGAGCTGAAGGTTCGAATAAGAGTTACCACCTTGCCTTAATTTACAACTGACGACAAACCTTCAAAACACTTACAAAGTCATTACTGTACAAATACAATAACCAACACTGTACAAATGTCTCAAGTTCTACTGCGATACAATCTTTTCGTTTTCCATCACACCGTTACCAAGTGCAAAACAAAGCACTGCCTAGAAATATGAAGCGAGAAAACTGAAAATGTTTGTACTTTTTTTAAAGCACCAGCATGTTTTGTGGACTACTTTTTACAAGGGGATCGTGATTATGGTGCATGAAATGACATAGTACTTGTATGGTAAAAGATTTTCGCCTTCATTTTGTAATCTGATCATACATAGTACACTCAAAAAAATGACGTTTACTATTTGTTCAAACTACTTCAATAAAATTAGCTGAAACAACACAACTCGTCGTTTTTTTGAGGGTGGAAAACCTAATTGTTTTATGTTCAATCTACTTAATTTTATAAAAACTACAAAGTCAACTTAATTCCTTCATGTTGTCCCAACACAAATTGATTGTGTGGAACCCCAACAGTTGGGGTGGCCTACATTTGAACAAAATATGGGTAAAAAAAAACAACAACCCAAAATAGCATTTTTTTAGAGTGTATAGATGTGTTATCTATATGTATTGAGCACTCCGTCCAGTGTGGTCTTACTAGTTTTATGTGGGTATTAATACGTAAATTGTTCAACACAGGCTCATTGGAAATACATGCCTCAGAAACATACGTTAACATATGTTTGACAGCAGTTTCATGGTAATATGAACGCTATGGGGCAGTATGACAACAAATGTTGTTTCTTTTCACACTGCTGACAGGGAGGATTATTTTCACTCAATTCGTCGGAAAATTGGTACCACAAAACAACTTAACTGTGCAGGAAAGACATGTATCTGAAAAGTATAACAAAATTAACCCAGAGAAACGCATTTCAGATTTGCAGAAATGTAGACAGCGCCCTCTAGTGGATTTGTTCTTTGAAACGTGTAGCGAAACGTACCCAGAGGAACGTTTTCACGTTTCGCAAAAATGCAAGCTGAGATACATATTTCCAATAAGCCTGGGTTGCTTTTCCTGAAATGCTCTGAAACGTACAATTAGGATATATTGAAACTTATGTAAACATTGTGTATTTTCTGTTAAAAGTAGTGATAAATGATATATCTGTCGTCATCAGCCGATATATGTTTAAAATGATAGCAATAAAGCATTAAAAGTCAATAATTCCTCTTCGACCACAAAACCTGATCATGACCATTTCTTTAATAAATGACAGACCAATGCTATCTCACGGCAATTTGTAACTTTTTAATTTAGTGCCGTATGAATTCGTATAATCTCATTTGTACAATTTAGTATGATTTGTTTATCCCCCAATGACATTTGGCTTTATTTGACGTTTGGTGTGACACTTCCTTTTTAAAAATCAGACATTTTCGTACAACTAAACTCCCTTTCGTACCACTAAACTAACAAAACGTGAAATAGTTACGTTTCCTCGTGAGATCAGGATGGACAGACAACTCAACTGCAAAAAAGCCAAAACAAAAGTAGTCCATGTGTTGCAGTCACAGTCTTTTATAGTAAACAATATTGTAAACAATTACAGAAATGCTAATCAACTCATAATTTAGGAACTCATTTTTAATTTGAAGTAATGTACGTTTCAGCGTACGTTTGGTAGAACCACACCTTATGTAAAGTACATACAACTACTCATGAAGCCACACTGAACCATCAGACCTTTTCTCTGAAGGGGATCCAACACATACACTGGTTCAGCAGTCCAGCTCCATCAACACGGGACGGTTTACGGATGAATTCTTCCTCATTAAATGCTCAACACGTCTATTTCCAAAAAAAAGAAGGCTCACGTTTGCGATGAAATGTATGTAATGAGGCGAACCACTTCAAATATGCAATGAAAATTAGAGGAAAGCCACATCAAATGGAGCGGCTTGACAAAGAGAGGAAGTTGCTGCCAGTTTGAAGAAAGGATGACATCTGCCCTCTAAATGACATCGTCACGCTGTCCTGTCTCGCTTTGCAAAGCAACAATTACTTCTCATTCCTTAAACGTCTCTCTCGCTTCTCAGTTGCTGCGCGTCCAATGTCAAAACTTGTGACGAGCGAGATTCTCTCAAACTCTCGAAGGTGATTTTTCCAAAGATGCTGGCGAGGGCTTGATGAGAGCAGTGGCATTCAGGGTCAAGGATCGACCCCTTTTTTTTTTAGAAAGCGTACGTGAAAGAGAGATCAGTGCTTCATTGCTTTGTAAAGGCGTTTAGAGAACCTTTCGAAACTATTCCCACACACACACACAAGCTCGCAAGGACATCTCGCTGAACGTTTCCTCATCCTCGCCACGTCTGATTGAAGAAAATCACACAAGTATCGCTTGCAAAAAAACGGTTCAGAGATTCACAAGACACAATCGGTGTTTCTTCTCAAGGTTTTTTTCTTCTTCTGTACACTGAGGACTGGAGCATGATGTTCACAGTGCACCGATGTCGGTTCTTGTCCTTGGATCCACTTTTTTTTTCTCAAGTCTATAAGCATCTGGCTGCTGAACACACAAAAAAAGGGGAAGGTACCGGCCCGTTCTCCTGTAGGGCTGATGAACTTCAGTGCTGGTAGAGAGATAAGACAAGAGTCGTTTTGCAGCAAGACGCTTCCGTTTGGCAAGATCGATGACTTCCGGTCTCCTCTGTGGAAGCGGGTCGAGAGCAGTGAGGTGAGCCGCTATACCTGAACTTGAGTCCCGTGATGTGCCTGAAGACACTGGATGCTGGACAGGATCTTCTTCTGATGTCCTGCCAGCTCAACACCCATCTTGTCCAATTCACTGTTAAAGAAAAATAAAAAAATGTGTTAGAATTACAGTTTGTGGAACAAGTTATGTGCAATCAGATGCTTTGAATTTTCCAGTCTCTTGAGAAAGTGATTTCAGAGTCAACATTTCATTATTATTATTACACATTTTTTTACATTATATTATATTATATTATATTATATTATATTATATTATATTATATTATATTATATTATATTATATTATATTATATATATATATATATTATATTATATTACATTTTTTTATTATATTATATTATATTATATTATATTATATTATATTATATTATATTATATTATATTATATTATATTATATTATATTATATTATATCCCAAATTGGGTTTGTCTATATTTGGCTCAATGTTGGGTTATGACAACCCAGGTTTTTAGTGTACATATACACACAACACAATAAAAATATAATATACAGTATATAATATTAAATCGATAATTAAAAACAATACTTTAATAAACTGGATTAAGCTCTTTGTGCACTCATCAAAAGTTTTCATCAGCCTGTGTTAATGAGCAATTTGAGGTTTGCATGAGAAACAAGTAATGAAAGGATTTTTGTATAAAAATCCCTTAATTAACAAAAAATTAAATGATGCTCACTTGAGATTAATGCTAATAATGAGAGATGGAAATGCCTTTCCTAAATAAATTGATGCACAAAACGTTACACCCACGTGAACAATTAACTGTTTCCATTATGCTTGTATTGTTTATTGTTGCTTCCTAAGTTACCAATACTACAGTCAGCTGCTCTCACACCATGATGGACATATCAATAATTGGCATTTGGGATTTTTGATTTTTTGCAAACAGAAAAGATTTGCTTCATGTTAGGAAGAAACCTCAGCTATTGACACAAATTTGGATTAAAAATGCAATCGAGGTCATTTCTAAAATGATAATTGGATTTCAATTTGCAGAACTAAACATGCAATGTCACGTCAAAATAATAAAGCATACTTCATTTTGTTTAACTTCAATATATTTAATATTCTACAAAAAATTTATTCAACTTTCTGATAAAATGAGTGAAAAAATGTAGGTTTTTCATAATAATGTTAGCAACAACTAATACATCTTTATGCTAATGTCTGTAAACTACTGAACTACCATAATGAAAAATGGGAAGGACAATTTTTTGTGTGAGATTATATGGCTTTGATGGCCAAATGTGACGTATTATTTACACAAGTTTACATGAAAACAGATATACCACTTGCTGTATTACACATGCAATGAAATGAGGTTCCAAAACCATGATGTCCTGTGATATTCTTTGTGTGTGTTTAATGCTGAATATTGCATAAATTACAATCTTTAAATAACAAGAAAAAAGTAAAGCAGTGTCCAATGTATACTATGTTGTATTCAAAATAGCCTAGCTAGTATTTTAACATATAATACTATCATATACAACTTCAGTATGTGCAGATTCTGTACATTTTCAGTATGGAGTGAGCTAACATACCATTGTGACTCCTCCTAAAATGCAACCAAGCCTCTCATACTGTCATAAATGAGAGATGCATGTGTTGTTTACCTGCTGCTGACATACAGAACTGAGTCCAGGGTAACGTAGCCGGCGCTGGAGAAGTGTTCTTTGTACTGACCCATTTTAATCAAGTCCAGCCAGTCTTCAACTGTGTTGACCGCCGCCTCAGGAGTCACTGGATCCTCCCTGTGGAGGAAGGAGAAATAACAGTCTTATATAATCATGTCATTTCACATCACATCTAGTCTTAAAATCTCACACCCACAACCTGCTGACTCCATATATCCAATGCTAACACTTCAGGAGTTATAAAGACATCATCTGATTGGATGAATATTCATGCCCCTAAACATTGCACTGCAAAAGCAAACTGTGATTGGTTGCTTTACATGTCAGTCACAAAGCCTCAGGTCATTGGCCACTGAAAGCTGCTTTGAAGTCCAGATTTTCCGCTGTCAGTCTGAATTCATATCTAAATCCATAGCATTTCAGATTAATATGGCATATGTCAGGAATCTGTACAAAAATATTTTCCATTGGTCTATGGGAAGTCATGTACAGCAGTAGCCAAATGTTGATGTCACCATCCATCCATCCATCCATCCATCCATCCCATTTAATTTCATTCAAAGTTGTGGTTCCATAGTGTGAAACTTTAGCATGTACTGTGGGTTTCAATTGTGAGAACACTGAATAGTTTAAAAAACGAATATTTATTTATTTATTATTTTTATGTAATTTTTTTTTTTTGCTGTAGCCTTTTTTGACCAAATATTTTTGTCAGGTAAATCCCTTACAGGTTAATTGTTTTCATCTTCCCAATTCAAAACGTTCCACTAGTTTTGATGGCTAATTTAAACTCGTTAAAAGCAAATATTGTGCAAATGCCCCCTCCGCATGTTTTCATTTGTTGTTGAGTTTTAGGCAAAATTCCATTTAGATTTATTCCAAATCCAGGCCGTTTTCTCAGCTTGAAGTGTTGAGGTTGAAACAGTGCTCACAAACACGACAGATTCAAGGTTAACAATTTTTTAAACCTTCAAGGATAGAGCTGCTGCCCCTTAATAGTTGACTAAATGTTAGTGGCTTGGTTGTATACATTTGCAGTTGATGCTCAGTCACTAAAGAATGAGCCTATGTATTCTACATGCAAACATAAGTCTTTCATTCATTGAAAACCGATAAATGTACTGTATTGAAGAAATGTAAGTCTTGTAGGCTTACTTTTGTAACCCCGCAGGTCCTAGACCACCCAACCCGCTCCGACCTGCGATCGAACTGGTGATCTTCTGCTTGGGAGTTGGTTGCTCTAACAAGAATGCTAAAGACCATGGCCTCTAGCATCTGTCGCAAGAGCACTTCTAGAGGTCAGAGGAGTGAGGTTTACCTGCACAGCACTTCACTAACTGGCCTCCATTACACTCCCCTTTGTAAACATAAATCCCATCTGGGTCACGGCACCAATATAACCCCGCCAGTCCTACATCTATATATATATATATATATATATATATTTTTTTTTTTTTTTGTGCTGATATTTATGTGTGCTGTGTTTAAAGTATAATGATCATTCATAAATTCACTTCCTTATTTGAAAACAATGTTGCAATTGTAATTGGTATTCTTTAAATGTTAACATCTCTAATAGCGTAACTGATGTTTTACTTTGTATTCATTAATACAGTGTTTCCAACCCTACAAAGCAGTAACAACATCCCCTAATCCGAGAAAACATTGGACCTCCTTGATGTTTTGTGGCACAAGGTATGATCGGATGGTTTTATCTTTAGATAAGTCTGCTGTGATTCTATTGACACCAACAACATATCCCAGAAATTGATTTTTTTAGGCATGTTTACAGTCAGTCCAGCTTCCTGCCATTGATGGAGAACAGTTTGGATGTCCCTGAAGTGCTGAGCTATTAAGGAGGAATATATGATAATATCATCAATATAAACGAAGCAAATGTTACCTTTTAATTTTTTCATAACAGTTTCCATTAATTTCTCAAATGTTGCTGGCACATTTTATAATCTAAAGGGCATAATATTAAAGTGGAAGAGGCCAGATGGAGTGATGAATGCTGTCAATGGTTTACTCTGGGGGTCCATAGCCACCTGCCAGTAGCCGCTGCCAGAGATACACCAACACTCTCCCTTTTCTGAACCATTCATTTCAGGTTTTTGAGTCTCTTCTAATGCTGTGATGAGTTGATTCAAGTGTGTTTGATTAGGAAGAGGTTGAGAATGTGTACTGTTGATGCGCCTTCAGGAACAAGGTTGGGAAACACTGCTATAATAAATGATTAAAACATTATACTAGCAGTTTTAATGTGTGCAACCGAGTTCATACTTTGTATTTATTAATTATTAAAATGTCCAGGTAAGTTCATTTTTATTTTAATCCCATTTTAATTTTAATTTAGTAATTAAGTTGTAATTTTAATTTAAAACTATGAATCAGTATTTCTCTGCGAAACCATTATCTAGCTCAAAAACCCAAACAGATTTCTCCCTCTGTTTAATACTAACTAAATTAATGTTACGAGTAATTCAATTAACATTTGATTATCGACAAATGTCTTAAATAAACAACTAATCAGAGCCCTACATTAGAGTGCATGTGTGTCTCAGCTTATCAAAAGCTTATCATTGGCTGGACATGTTAGCTTTTCCAGATCCATGAGAGCGGCAGATTGCGCTCATGTCTCTGTCACTCTGTAACAAAGCCCTCCATCATAACACGCCATTAGAATCTCAATCTATTTTATTGACAAAGACATGAGGCAGAGGTTTCCCCATGGTTTGTGAGAGATTCCTGGTTCCCTTTTAATTGTGGCCAAGCACAAGCTGAACAATCTTTTTGCCTTTTATTTGGCAAGCCTTAAAAAATTAGGCAGAGGAACAGACAGGCAATCAGATCTCCCCTGAAAACCCCCTTAAAACGCACACTGGAGGCTAGAAAAATCACATCTGGCCTCAATCTGGATTTGCTGTATATCATTTCTGTACCTTATAGGATTACTGCGAAAAAACACCTCCGATTTTTATCACACACCTGAGAAATATCATGAGTTATACAGTTGAAGTCAGAATTGTTAGCCACCCTGTATATTTTTCCCCCAATTTTTGTTTAACATAAAGCTTTTTTTGTTTTAATTGTAATTTATTTAATTTAATTTGTAGTTTTAGTTTAGTTTTTTTAGTTTTGATAACTAATTTCCAGAGTGTAACGCATTGCACAGTAAGGCGTAACTGTATTATAATTGCATTTTTGGGGACAAATTACATTTTAAATTTTGTGTAATTTGATTACAGTTACTAAAGTCAGTGTAATTGTGTTAGTTACATTACAAATATAGTTTTTACAAGATAAAAATGCTTCTTTTAAAATCACGTTTTCTGCTGCAACGTCAGTTAAAAAACATGGACTTTTAAATTGTTGGAGAACATGGGCTGAAATACCTGTTAATGAGAGTTGTTGTTTCTTCAAGTGGAAATACAGACATTACTTTGATCTCATTGAGCGTGAAAACAAAAACATTGCTGTGAAATGCAGGCTATGTCCAGCTTCTAAAGAACTTTCGACTGCTTTTAACTCAACAACTTGTTCAGGCACTAGACCCTTTTCACATTTACGGGTTTCTCAGTAGCGGAAGTCGTCATAGTTGGGAAAACTTGGAATGGTAAATAATAAATAAAATTTAATTTGCTCAAATAATAAAAGAAAAACTCCACGATGCTGTTATAAAGAGGTTCAGAAAAAGGGAAAAAAAAGTGTGAGACTGAAAATGGCAGCCAGAGGAGAGAATAATGTCAAATTTACTGTCCTGCCTTATAGACGCCTTATAGACATTAGAAATGCCTCACACAAACGGTAATTAGTTTTTTGTAATTTAAAGCAAAGATGATATAATACATACAAAAATACTTGAAAGTTTTTTTTATATTTGGATTTTTTTTGTTAAACATATGAAAATTTACAAGTGACCGTTAAACTCAAAGCAGGCTTGTGAAAAGGGTCCCTTGAATGGAAAGCATTCAATGACAGCCACCAAGGTGGACACTGGCGCCCAAAAAAACGGCGGTCCAAACAGGCTAAATTGGATTTTTGTGCAGGATCGGGAGTGAAGGTATTTTCTGAATGTGAAGCCATTCACATATCACTTCTTTTGCGTGCTCAAGTTCATCATTTCCAACGAAGGCGCGGCTTGCGCACACATATTAGGAGAGCATACTGCGCATGCTCGTATAAGTACTGACCTATCAGCTTCAGGTTACACCCAAACACTGTAGTGTTTTTGCATACTATGAATGTCAATGGATACAGGTATCCAGTTTTCTTCTTTTTTTCTTTCGTGTTCATAAAAAAAACAAAAAAAAAAAACAAGTTTGGAACAAGTGAATGATGAGAGAATTTTAAGTGCAGTTTATTTTGTATGTTTATAGCTATATTTGATATGTTTTAAAAAATAACTTCAAAGTAAAGTAACTAGTAATCTGATTACTTATTACTTTAAGTAATTAGTAATATAATCAGATTACAATTTTCTAGAAGTCAATAATTTGTAATATATTACTTTTTTAAGTAATTTACCAAGCACTGCTAATTTCTAATAACTGATTTTTTAAAATCTTTGCCAAGATGACAGTACATAATATTTTACTAAATATTTTATCAAGACACTAGTATTCAGCTTAAAGTGTATTTTAGGCTTATTTAACTAGGCTAATTAGGCAAGTTATTGTTAACAATGGCTTGATATAATCAATAAAAAAAGCTTTAATATAGCTAATAACATTGATCTTAAAATGGTGAAAAAAAAACAAAAAAAATGTAAAACTGCTTTTATTCTAGCCAAAATAAAAGTAGTAAAACTTTCTCCAGAAGAAAAAAATATGGGAAATACTGTGAAAAATTCCTTGCTCTGTTAAACATAATTTAGGAAATATTATAAAGAAGAAAATACACAGGGGGGCTAATAATTTTGACTTCAACTGTATATTGCATGCTGCTCACACAGACATTTATTGAATTCAGAAGTTCATTTGGCTTACCAGACCGCACTGTTGGCCAGCTGCTTCAGGCTGCTGGGATTTCGGATCAGCCTGTCCAGAGTGTTGACAATCTGCCCGAATTTGGGCCGATCGCTGCGGTTCTTTTCCCAGCAGTCAAGCATGAGCTGGTGAAGCACCACCGGACAATCCATCGGGGCCGGAAGCCTGTAGCCTTCATCTACAGCTTTTATCACCTGAAGCAAAGAAGATTCTTCATGAATACAGAGCAGATTTATTCATTTGCTTCATGTATTTGGTTCTTACAGAGTAAGAAATAATTATTTTTTTTTTTACCCATCTCTGACTGAGAATGAGATTTTGTGCAAGACTGTCTTTGTTAGTATAAATGTTTAATTTCATCCCTTTGAAATGACAGCACTACAAGGACAAGAGTAAACCACAAACATTCCTATTATTTTAAAGGCAGCTTTCAGGAAATAATGCACTTCCAAACCTTTATGATATTCTTTCTTTTGTTAAACGCAAAAGAAGATATTGTGAAAATTGTTGGAAACCTGTAACTATTTACCTCCATAGTAATTGTTTTTCATACTATGGAAGCCAATGGTTACAGATTTTCAACTTTCTTTAAAAAAAAAAATCTTCTTTTTTGTTTAACAGGAAAAAGAAACTCTGTAATATTTTATTTAAAGGAGTGTTCCCAAGACTGTTATTAAACATTTATAATCATGACATAACACATGTCATGAATGGGAATAAAATTGTATCCATGCTTATAACAACAGTCATTAATTTTAATTTACTCAGTTGTGACATTTTAAATAAGTAAGCAAGCAAGCAAACTTCATTGTCCTTGTCATAAAATTTATTATGGGTATCACCATATTGCTGCAGACATATATAAAAACAAATTATAAAAACAATACAAAATATTATAATTACAAATAAGATAAACTCCTGTTATATAAACCCACTGAAACAGGTACAAACAATCTCTTATATTGGTTCAACTTACACTTAGGGAAGCAGTTCATAATCAACACTTTAAGCATTAACTTAGATTTACACTGTACAGATAGGTTGCCAAACCACACCTACAGTATATAAATAAAATAAAAGTCATGACAAATAAATAAATAAAAATCTAAATAAGAAGAAAGCATTAGTGTTTCTTAACAACTTGACAAACAAATACATCACAACCTGTCACAACATAACTTGTAATAAGTCTGCCATAAACATAATTGCCATGAGGCATTATAATTGTGTCATAAATATTTATCAGATCACGTTTTCAGTGGAACAAATTGTATTCCTTACTCAAATGTGTCAAATAATTACTGTCAAATAATGTTTAATAGCGTTAATAATATTTAATTACTTTTAATGGCAAATTTAGCTTGTACCACAATAGATGAAGTAAAAAAAATGACTATGTTATAAAATTCATGACAGATTAATGACTAGTTTTGTTGTCTTGGTCAGGGCTGCACAATATTGGAAAAAATCTGACATTGCGATATTTTGGTTTTCTATATTTATTTCGATATAAACACAATTTTACTATTTTTTTAGCTTAAATAGCTCTATTGGGAACAAACAAAAAAACATTAATTTCTATAGATTTGGTTGATTTTGTAAGGATGTGAATCATGTATAAGAAAAATAGTAAACATGCTGCAAGAACAACTACAATAGAGGAAAGGGAACAAGTGAAATAAAGAGCACTTAAGAGTTTTCCTGCAGAGTCAAACTGCATTCAGGTACAGAAATTGAACAATGAAATGTCAAATAACACTGTTTAGTCTTTTTTGTATTAACAATTAAGTAAATTATTCTTCATTATTATTAATTAATTCAATTGTACACTCCATCAAGGGCACTTATATGTGCTGATCAGCTACTTTTGGCTGTTCCAAGCACAAGGTAAAAAACCAGGGGGACTGTGCCTTTGCAGTGGTGGCCCCCAAACTCTGGAATAATTAGCCTCTCCATGTTAGGCAGGCCACAACCCTTTCTGTTTTTAAATCTTAAGTCTTAAAACCCATTTTTACACTTTGGCTTTTAATATCATATAACAGTCTTATGTCTGTTGTATTTGTCCTGTGTTTTAGATGGTGTATGTGTGTACAGCACTTTGGTGAGCACTAGTTGTTTTTAAAAAGTGCTTTATTAATAAACATTGACTTGACTTGATCAAAGTTACAAATGGTGTACATTATTGTGCCTGAATGCTTTACACTCTCTTAAAAATCCTTTAAAACACATGCAAATGATAATATTTCACTCTGTTAATGGTTATACTTTGCAATGATTTCACAAATCTCATGTATTCTCAATTGTTGATCAACTATAAACCCATCTCAACATTGCATATCCTGCGATGTGACTATTGAACACACACACATTGCGATGTCGATGCTGAAATGATATATTGCAGCCCTAAGTCTTGGTAAGGTCAAGTTGACAAACAATGTAATCTTTGCATTTAAAATGACATAAAATTGACACGTAATAAAAGTTGTCATAAGCATGTCTTGATTATAAAGGTCTTATCAACACCTCTTCAAGTAGCGAGTTATCAGAAACTCAAAGTTTGGAACCACTTTAGGCTGAATAAATAGTAAGTAAATTCTTATTTTTGGGTGAACTATTCCTTTAACTCTGGCCTGTTAGGCTGGAAACATTGAAACGCATGATTGCTTGTTACCATGGCAAAGGAAGAAAGATGGATTTCACGGCAAGTGGAACTTTCATATTTCACTCCCTCGACACAATAAAAGTGCATCCGCTAACAAGCATGCAAACATTTTCGTGCTGCGCTTTAAACATGACGTGTCTACAGTTCTGAATTACTCCCAAATGTCTCAATCTCCTTCCTGAGCAGAGTTTTTCTCTAAATTCCCAAGCAAAGATTTCATCCCAAGGTGAAGATAAATAAATGGAAATGGTTTCTGGTGTGGAAAATCTGCCAAGAGCCCACTGACACGGATTCAAATTCCCTCTTTTAAAGCGGCCTGCGAATTGAAATCTGGAAATGTTCACCCTCCAGATGCATTTAATCTTTTTACCTTCATAAGCCTGGGAGATTTTTTTAAAACTCGAGTCGCACTGAAGTGCCTTGCCAGAAGTCTTTTATTACAAATCAATGAGGATTTGCAGGTTTAAAAAAATAAATCAAGCCTGATGGAAATAGTTAGCAGTGTTGTTGATTTTAACCTAAACTTTTCCAATTAATGAAAACTCTTTTTAAATGTTTCAGAGATGTAACGTAATATAATTGATAGATGTTTTATAATTTAAAGGTAAATTAATAACTAAAGCTAAAACTGAGAAAAGGCAAAGCTAAATTTACATTAAGATGAAAAACTTAATAAAAAATAAAAAATGTAAATAAAAATACCGGGAAAAAGATATTCAAGATCATCAGATCAATAACAGAGCTTTAAATTTGTTGAAATATGCTTACATTAGTATGTGACCTGTTTAATTTTAGAGCAAAATAAGACCTTTTTTTAACATAGAAAACACCATTTACATTGTTCTTCAGTGTAAAATAGTTTATATACCAACAAACATCTTGTCAATTGATGAAATATTTGATAACTTGATTTAAGCCTCTCAGTGCTGCCCCTGAATATTATATATTTATTGTCAATTATATCTTCTTGCTATACCAATATTTAAAAAAAAAAGCCCAGATCTGTTTCTCTTTACATTATATGTTATGTTGAATCACGAGACATTATTTTTAAAACAATTTAAAATTTTTCACAAAACTTGTATTGAATGCAGTCTACAAAATGAATCTTCTGATCTCTGACCAATAAATATAATATTACAATAACTATATTAGCCCATATAAACAATACTGTAAGTGACTAGCTGTGTAACTTGTGTGGTATCTCTCAGATTCAGAATTGACTTACATCCTGATTGGACATTTCCCAGTACGGTCGCTCCCCATAGGATATCACCTCCCACATGACAATGCCGTAACTCCATACATCACTGGCTGAGGTAAACTTCCTGTAGGTGATGGCCTCTGGAGCCGTCCAGCGAATGGGAATCTTTCCACCCTATTAAAAAAAGAACATTCACAATAGTATGACTACAAATATAGTAAAGCTATTGTCGATAACCAGTACAGTTAGCATTGCTACTTTTAAAAATCTTTTTTTACACAGTAGTGAAGCAATTTTCTTATTCGATTTATATATAAATAGTGGTAGAATTGCATGCTTACAACATAATTAAATTTTCTAGGGAAAAAAGTCAAAAAGTAAAAATTGTGATACATAAAATGTCACAATAACCTTTAATTATTTAATTATGTGACTAAAATAAGGATTTACACAGTTATTTTAAGATTTACAGATTTATAGTTATTTTAAATTGTGCTGTTAAGAAAAGATGAGACAAACTCAGAAATATGATGAAATATTTGCCTATAATATATATATATATATATATATATATATATATATATATATATATATATATATATATATATATATATATATATATATATATATATAAATAATTTTTAAAATACCTTTTTCATGTTTTAAAATCTGTAAAAACAGTTTAATACAACATAAACCTAATCTAAAAGATCTTAGTTTAGCTTAGTTAGTTGAAAGCTAATCTAACAAAAGAACAAAGATACATACACTTAGAATTTCAAGAAAAGCTTCCTAATTGAATTTTTCCTTTAAAATAAGGTTTCATAATACAGCAACTACTTAACATTGATCTGTTAGCTTAGCCTAGGTAGAATAATTGGAAAATTAGCTAGCAAGCATGATCAAAAGTATAGATATATACAATAGATATCACACACAGACCCTGACCATGCGCCAATACCGCAGCCATATTTCTACAGTGCTCTCAGGGCAAGAGTCATTCAACCGCACTAGTCAAGACCAAAGCCAATCTGAAGATGCTGGACTTTAGCGCTGCTTACAGGTGTAGTAATGAGCAAACAAAGAAAACAAACCATAAAGGCAGAACATTTCATAGGTAAGATTTCGCTTTTTATGTTTTGTATGTCACCAACAAGTAACGTTATTGATGATAATATAGTCACTGCGCTGACCATAAGGCAAAGTAGCACCAACTTACACTAAATTCTAGGCTTATGATAGTTTGGGTGAATAAAATCAGCAAACAATGTAAATGAAATACGACAACAAGATGCTACGGTGCCAGAGACTTGTATTATTGTTGGCTAAGTGAAGTAACGGCTAGTTGTTGAAGCAACTTATAAGGGTGCCTAATAACATAACAGTGCCTGTGCCTCAATATGCACACTTTCCACCTTAATCATTAAATATTATAAATGCTATACTATTTAGATTAGAAAGATGGATACGCACATTGAGACGCAGGTTTCATACGAGTCAATCATAACGGAGATTCATTCACAAACGCTTCACTCTCTCTATTAGAATTAGAAGTAAAAGCGGAAGAGGGGGTGTGCTTCAGCACACAGATTAGATCAAATATTTGTCGGCAATGCCTGTGCAGTCACTTATCCATTGATATAGAAAAGATAAAACAATATTTGCATACTGACCACAGAGAAAACTGATAATAGATATATGTATATATATATATATATATATATATATATATATATATATATATATATATATATATATATATATATATATATATATATATATATATGTGTGTGTATAAATGTATGTATGTATGTATGCATGTATATATATATTTATATATATGGTGGCTCCGGATGGCCAGTCTTCCAATGCACTTTGGTCCCACGTTCATTTCAAAGGAGCGCTACCCTGTACTAAAATGGCTGCTCTATTGGCGCATTCCTTCCAATAGAGAACAACAGTGTAGGCGACATCTAATGTAGATATCTAGACTGTAAAATTTATGATTAATTAGTCCTGATAGAATATTTTTTGTAGTTAATTGTAACTTCACTGCAAAAACTGATTTTCTTACTTAGATTTTTTGTCTTGTTTCTAATCCAAATACCTAAAAACCTAATGGACTCATAAGGTTAATTTGATTCAGCTTAAAAATGAAAAAGCCCAAAAAGATTCAACTTAAGAGGCAACCAGGGTTTTTTTTTTTTTACAGTGTATGAACCAAGACAAGCTTAGAAATAGACAACAACAATATAAAATGTACATTTAGACAGCTTACAAGTATACAAGCTAGTCGTTGAAATATGTTTCAGCAAAATCATAAACAAATGTATTAATCGACAGAGGAAAATCGCATGCAAACAGAGTCAGAGAAAATCACACACACACGTACGCACATGCACACACGCACACAGTGAGCATACATTTAGCCATCCATCAGTCTGGAATGCTGCTTTGACAGGCCTGTGTGACCTCATTTCCACACTACAGGTCAGCAAGAACACATCTCACTCCCTCAGATCATTTTTCTACAAAATCAATCCATACTTGGGTTTCAAAAACAGCCAAACCAGTTTAGAGCCTCACAACAAAACTGTTATAATATGAAATAATTAAACTGAAACGGAATAATGTACTAGTTAAATCATCCAGAGTACAGTAGTGTGATCTCTCACCCGTGTAGTGTATGCCGCTTCAGGATCGTCCTCCAGCACGCGCGACAGCCCGAAGTCAGACACTTTACACACCAGGTTTCCGTTTACCAGAATATTCCGTGCTGCCAAATCCCGATGCACGTAGTTCATCTCGGAGAGGTACTGCATCCCGGCGGCGATCCCTCTCAGCATTCCCAACAGCTGGATCACTGTGAACTGCCCGTCGTGTTTCTGCACAAAATGAAGAGTTCAGATTCTCATCCCAGTGGCCTTATTTTCTTCGGTGGATCCTGGCACAGGCTGTCAGATTTGAATTCGTCTCATGAGTAATTCATAATTCAAAGGCTCCCTAATTATGAGTGTTGCTCACATGTTGCAGGGCATGACATATTAAACGACTGCATAATCACTCAGGCTTTATATATTGCCATGGCAAGCAAGTAACCAACTAACCAAATGATGATGTTTCATTACACACTCTGGCAAGAAAACTAATTTTTTTGTTAACTAAGGTTGAACTGTGGTAATGGGGTTATAATGGGATTCTGGTGAGACTTCATTTGAATAAACACAAGCATATACAGTATATGTACAATATTGTATATACAGTTGAAATTAATTATTAAGATAAATATATTATTAATTACTACCCCCCCTGAATTGTTAGCCAACCTGTTATTTTTTCCCCAATTTCTATTTAACGGAAAGATTTTTTTCAACAAATTTCTAAACATAATAGTTGTAATAACTCATTTCTAATCACTGATTTATTTGACTATTGCCATGATGACAGTAAAAAAAATTAAAAAATTACTATACATTTTTCAAGACACGTCTATATAGCTTAATGGGATATTTAAATGCTTAACTATGCTGATTAGGGTTAACTAGGCAGGTTAGGGTAAATATGACTTAAAGAGCCCATATTATGGGTTTTTGAAAATTCCCCTCCATGTAGTGTGTAACACAGCTCTAAGTGAAGTGAAGTATCCAGCTAAGGCTTAAATCTGTAAGAATACAGTGTTTAAAACTGTTGATTCATCTATAAAAGAGTCGAATCATAGTGCTTCAAACGAGTCGCCTTGATACCGACTCATTAGGTGTTTCGCCATGACGTACGAACGAAACAAAGTTTTTCACGTGCACGCGCAAACCCGGGAGATTTCAAACCTGAGGCCCCGCCCTCTGACGCAGTAACCCAGACACACACACACACACACCCACAAACACACGCACACCCACAAACACACGCACACAAACATGCCGGTCGATTGAAGTCACACTGCAGATGGATATATTGAGTCTCTACCCAAAGATGAAACATCAGCATTATAACCAAGCAGTTGGAAACTTCTGGAAGCTACATGCTACAAAGAATACTTCATCTGAGTTTGTTAAAGGAAGGATCAGTAAAGAGTAACTGATGGACGTCAGGATGGGTTTCTTCCTACATTTCTCAAGTGTAAGTACGTGCGGTTAAAGTTGTTGCCTCGTTTACTCTAGCTTGCAAATGTATTTAGTTGTGATTTGTTACTTGTAACCGCGTGTACTGTATCAGGTTAACTGGATATATTATCTTATCGCGTGCAAAGTCACGTTAAAAACGCGACGCGTGCTGTTTGTTTATGGAGCTCCGTGCTAGAGTTCTGCTCCCGCGATTTATTCGGAAATGTATTCCCGCGCCGCAGAAATCTGGCGCGGGGAGAGAGAGAGAGAGAGCGAGAGAGAGAGCGAACGAACGAACGAGCTTTGTGTACTTTGTGCTGTGTGTGTGTTTTTATACAGACAGCTTGGCTGTCTGGACTGTATACTGGGTGATTTTTGGCTGTGTTCTCCGCTCTAGCGGGACCGGGCGCGGCGGGCAGAAAACGGAGCGGGTTCTCAGGCTAAAACCTGGCGGGTGCGGGCTGAAGCGGGAGCGTTGTCATCCGGAGGTGTGTGTGTGTTTTTGTGTGTGTGTGGTTTGGCGAGTACACGACTGTCTCCTTCGTTCGGTTATCCGTGGCACTATCCACTCGCCATAGTGTGGCAGCTAAAGTCCACGCCTACACTATCGAGCGTGTATGAACTGTGATTACTTTTTAAATTGCTGATTAGCTATTGGCCATTTCCCTCTCTGACTGAAGGCAGTCGACCAATCGCGACAGACTGTCATCGGCCCAATCAGCGCAGATTAGCTTCGCGCTAAGGAGGGGTTTGGGAACAAATGAATCACTGGACGATTCATACAGAAGTCGCTGGGATAATTAGATAAAAATAAATGCAGATTATAAGACCATGAAAGTGTTTTTTGACCTTGCATGCATATTAGACTGTTGTTGGAGACCCTTACAACCAAGATATGACCTTATTTCATGTATAATATGGGCTCTTTAAACTAAATCAAAATTTGCAGTCAAAATTAACATTGACGGCAAGCCGTTAATTATCCCTTACAAATAAGTACAGACAGAATTATTAGCATTCCTGAATTATTAGCCCTCCTGTATATATCTTTCCCTTATTTCTATTTAATGGAAGATTTTTCAACATTTTGAAGCATAATAGTGTTAATAATTAATTTCTAACAACTGGTTTACTTTACCTTTGTTTTCATGACAGTCCATAATATTTTGCTAGATATTTTTTCAAGATACTAGTCAAGTTAAGATTTTTTTTGTAGAGCAATTTAAAAACAGAAGTGAGCCAAAGTGCTGTACAGACAATATACAACAAAATAAGCATAATAATTTATAAAAATACATAAAATACAAGATCGAATATAGCTAAACTACCTAAAAAACCTATTGATTAAAATAACCAGTTATTAAGGTGTCAAATGGCAACAAAAATATGAGTTTTAAGAGCTGATTTAAATGAAAACAGAAGAGGGCCTGTCTTATTGGCAGTTTCAAATCATTCCAAAGTCTAGAACCTAGCAAAAGCACGATATACTCTAAACTTACGCTTTGTTTTTGGCACAATCAGGAGAAGCTGATCAGCTGAACTAAGAGAATGAGTGGGCTTATAGGGGTGTATCAGCTCAGAGATGTAAGGTGGGGCCAGACCATTTAGCGAAATATTTTGCAGCTATTTTGGGCAATAGCTAATCTACTACTCCCCACATACAGTGCATTACAGTAATCTAAAAGAGTGGTCATAAACGCATGGATTAATATGTCAAACTATTGTTTTGGTGTATATATTGCTTTATTTTTGCCAGTTGTCTTAATTGAAAGAAGCTAGATTTAACTACCGCTCTAATCTGATTGTCAAATTTAAAATCTGAGTCAAATTTCACACCAAAATTTGTGACTGTAGGCTTAATATGCTGAGGTAATGAACCAAAAAATTCCTTTAAAAAAATGACCATTATCATTGCATCATTCTACCTTAATGTATTAAATGTATTAAAATGTATTAAATTCAAAAATATTATTAATTTAAATATTTTATTTTGATTTTAGTTTGATAAAAATATTCATGCTAAATATCACTCCCTTAATGCCATTGTTATAGCTACAGTAGTGTCTCTGTTGTTCTTCGAAATTAGCTTAACCTGCAAGCCGACTATATTTATCAGAAAGACCATTCTGGTTGACATCACCAGATTAGATAACCAAGCCTTGGTGGTCTGAGATGGAAAGTGAAATGTAATGTGAGGGACAAAAAAAGCACGAATAGAGATGTGTGAACGCGAGTTGTCAAGCCCAGTCTGGAAGAGCCGGCGACTGCTTTGTGTTCCTGTGATATTTCACAGCATTTCCTCTGGTGCAAATTGGCCTTCATCATTGGCAGCAAAATAGAGCAGACTCACCTTCAAAAAAGTGTCCAGAGATCCATTTTCCATGTACTCTGTCACTATCATCACAGGCTTACCTGAGGGACAGAAAAAGAGGACAAAAACAGAGTGTGAAATAGTGGAGAAAATAAAGAGAGAGAGAGAAAGAGAGAGAGAGACATTTTAGAAAAGGAAAAGATGCAGCAGAGAGGCAGGGGAAGGCAAGAGCTTTGCATCGTATATTTAATTAATTGCCAATTTCGTCACCTTTCAAAATTTAGTTATTGACCTATTCTTATTCAATGACAACTTATTTACATTATGTGATGTTTTCTTCTAAGTTGTTTACATTAAGACTTTTTTATTTAAAAAAACAAAAAAACATTTATCTACAAAGTTGAACTCTAGCTTGGCTCTATAAGGTTTTTTTTTTTTGAGCGCGAATCAGCATTTCGAATGCACACACGAGGACCAATCAGAATAATCTTTCTTTGTTTCACTGGTTGACAGTGGGAAAGACCAGAAAGAAACACAAAACCAGTTGATTAAATAATGCTGCACCACACAAAATTAAAACTTGAAATTGAGTTGAAACCTGAAACTGAAAAGATGTGTGTAAATGTGATGATTTAGAAGCATTTTTTTACATTCGGATGAAATGTTAAATTTGACATTGTTGACAATTAAACGGTTATTAAAAAATAATAAATAATAATAATAATAATAATAATAATCATGTTAAATATTTATAATTGTGTATTTATGGTAAGTGAAACATTTTTCAGTGTTTGTTAAACTCATTTGCTAATTGTCTGTTTTCTTTTAAAGTCATTAAATTTGATATTAAGCCTTGAAAGGCAAATACTTAATTCATTAATTAATTGGATATAAAATTCAATAAATATAATTTAACCCCTTCAGATCCTGCGTCCATTACAATGGACATCACATGACATCCAATTTTTCTGAAATTTGGAACATAATTCAGGTCTGAAGGGGTTAAAAATTCATATAAAGCACATTATTCAATACATACTACCATATTAATTACATAAAAATTAACATTTGCACTGGAAAAAATATGGCGACACAGTGGCGCAGTAGGTAGTGCTGTCGTCTCACAGCAAGAAGGTCGTTACAGGTGAATTGGGTAGGCTAAATTGTAAAAACGCGTAAAAATGTGCTGGATAAGTTGGCGGTTCATTCCACTATGGCGACCCCGGATTAATAAAGGGACTAAGCCGACAAGAAAATGAATGAATGAATGAATGGACAAAATATTTAGCACAGCCTTGAACAAGAAAAAAATATTCATGGTAAAACAATAAATGACTGTTTTTGAAAGCAAAAACTTAACTCTCAAACATCAACATATTGTTATAATACCAATTTTATTTTTTTTAATTAAATGAATAAGCAGACTGATTGTATTTCTTAAAAAGTAATTCTTTAATTAATGATCCACCAGATAGAACTTTATAATTCCAATCAGAAAATTGTAATTTAGGATTATAAAGTTCTAACTTCCAAGGTTTTTTTAAACCCCAATTTACAAATTGATAATTTAAATTTAGAGTACATTTAGGCTTTCTATCATGTTATTGTATGAAAGAGAACTGTTACAAACATATTGTTTGCTATATGAAATGCAAAAACTTGCTGAAGCTCAGTATCTCAAAATAATTTAGAATACAGATAAAACGTTACAATTCCAAGGAGACGATTTGACAGAAACAGTAGAGTTGGGAGTCGATTTAAAAAAAAAAATCAATTCCAAGGTTTGAAGAACTGAGAATCAGCTAAAAAAAATTGTAATCAAGTCATTCAAGAGGTAGCGAACACATGTTACTATGAGCTATTAGATATGCCCGTGTCATTTACATGCACACAAATTATCTCACCCTCGCTTTATCTATGACTAATACAAATCTGGAAAATCTAACATGTAACTAACAAAAATACATTAAAATATTGAACTGTGGGGGCAGCATGGTGGCTCAGTGGTTATTACTGTTGCCTCACAGCAAGAAGGTCACTGGTTAGAGTCCTGACTGGGCAAGTTCTGTGTGGAGTTTGCATGTTCTCCTCATGTTTTTGTGGGTATCTGCTGGTTTCCCCCACAATCCAAAAGACATGTATTATAGGGGTATAAAGTGTGCATGTGTGTGAATGTGATGGGTGTTTCCCAATGCCGGATTGTGGCTGGAAGGGCACCCGTTGCATAAAACATATGCTGGAATAATTGCCGGTTCATTCCACTTTGGCAACGCCTGATAAATAAGGAACTAAGCTGAATGAAAATGAATGAATGAATGAATGAATGAATGAATGAATGAATGAATATTGCACTGTTTACAGAAAAAACAAAACTACAGTAGTTTTTATTCATCTATAACTTGGTACTGTAAATGACCACAGAATAACTGGGATAAACAGTGGCTTTCCATGCATTAAAGCATTATTTTAAATCTTTATAAAATCCTTCAACACATAGCAATCTGCTGTTTTTCCCTCACTAACTGTATACACAAAGTGATTTGCTGTACATGTCTTATAAACTCTATTAAATACAACATGTCTTATGTGATTTGACATTGCAGGCTTAAGCTAAATGAGCTTAAGGTTTTTAGCTCCACTTTGAATATATGAAAAGATATCTAAAGTATGATGTGAATGGGCTTTATCTTATTTCCTTTTCAACAAAATTTCTCCTTTTACCTAGCTGAAATTGCACCTGCTTTAACATCAACAGATGAACTATTGAGTGTTATAGTTATTTCAGCATACAGCCTGCTTATTCATGGTTTACATTCAATTCAACAACTGTGCACATTCATTTTATAGATAGTATGCACTAAATGATATGCTCGATTGAACCTCTTTTTATAGCTTATTCATTAATGGCAAGGTTTGAGAAGAAAGAACTGAAGTAGAATCAAAACAGCAGCGAGGAATCAATTATTGGATTTTGTTCCACTGATTCCAAAATCAGGACTCGTTTCCAGACATTCTGGAATGGAACAGCCCTAAAAAAAAACAGTGGGTTGAAGAGATCGGTTGCGTCCCCCACCGCCACGACTCTACCTGCTGCCTGTTACTCACACTGACAGCCCCTAATCAAAGCTCTCAATAACAGTCAGCCAGATAATTAGAGCGAGCGTCCACCGAGAATATCTTTGTCCAGAAATACCTAAAATGCTAATGAGTTCCTTTAGGAAGGCGAATGATGAAGGGGGAGGATTTTGGAGGGGGGCTGTGATTAATTGCCCTGGGGCTGCAGAAGAAGAAGGGCTGTAAAGATCCGCTAATGGGAAAAGTGTTCCCCTCACTGCTATGTCGCAGACACAGCTGCAAGAGGCAGATCGCACCTGCGTTGAGGAAAGTGATTAAAAATTCTCCTTTGATTCTGCCCAAATAACACGCTGTCAATCAGAGGTACCTCGCGTGTGACAGGGTAGAGTTCATGCTAATCCATCCTGATTATCAGGGATGCGGGATCGGTGTAACGTATGGCAGAAACTTTCACCTCGGGGCAGCAGACACGTGTCAGGATGAGAGGACGTTTAGCCCGAGAGACACTGAGGATTTCGTTGAGCAAGTTTTCATAGCATGTCTCATCTAGTAGATATGTGGGCTAGAAAAGAGGAGATTCTGTAACCTTTTTTTAAATTTTAGGGGGAAAGACATGGTAGGCTACATGCTATAGTATGTATGAATGAATTAATGAAACAATTTAATCAAATAATAATTGTAATTAATTAGATAAAATGTAAATATTAAAATGTAATACAAAATAACAAATATAATTACCTAATATAACCATTCTGAGCCAAATATTGAGAAAGAACCAAATCTTCTACCACAGCAATGCTAATGACACTCAGATCTACTTAGCTTTACTGCCCATTTCAGCCCCATTGACACCCTCTGCCAATGCATTGATGAAATGTACAGTTGGATGTGCCAAAACTTTCTTCAGTTAAACAAAGAGAAAACTGAAGTCATTGCATTTGGGAACAGATATGAGGTTCTCAAGATGAATGCGTACCTTGGCTCTTGGGGTCAAACAACAAAAAATAAGATCAAGAATCTTGGTATCATTCTGGAGTCCGATCTGAATTTCAAGAGTCAGGTCAACGCAGTAACTAAATCATCATACTATCATCTCAGAAACATTGCAAGAATTAGATGCTTAGTTTCTATTGAGGATTTAGATAAACTTGTTCATGCTTTTATCAGCAGCAGGGTAGATTACTGTAATGAACTCCTTACTGGCCTTCCCAAAAGACAGTCAGACAGTTGGAGCTCATCCAGAACGCTGCAGCCAGGATTCTGACCAGAACCAGGAATTTAGATCACATTACACCTGTTCTCAGGTCTTTACACTGGCTCCTAGTTAAATTCAGATTAGATTTTAAAGTATTACTACTTGTCGATAAATCACTAAATGGCCTAGGACTTCAATACATTACAGACATGCTCACTGAATACAAACCTAACAGATCCCTCAGATTTTTAGGATTAAATAAAAAGAAATTCCAAGAGTTAATTCAAAGCAGAGTGAATCCGCCTTCATACCACGCCCCCCGCTGCTGGAATCAGCTTTCAGAAATGATCAGATGTGCTCTAACATTAGGCACGCTCAAATCAAGACTGAAAACACATCTGTTTAGCTGTGCCTTTACTGAATGAGAACTGTGCTAGGATCGACAGATCACATGATTATGTCTTTCTTTTCTTTTCCTTTCATTTATAACCTGTTTTTAATCTGTTTTAATCACTTTTATTATTTGTTTTTACTTTCTTGTCTTTTTTATTCCTGTTTATGTAAAGCACTATGAATTGAGACAGTGTGTGAAATGTGCTTTATAAATAAACTTGCTTTGCCTATTTATTATAATATATTATTGACATTAACACCTACCAACCCACCAAATGCGGGTAGATTTCAGCTGTGTTATACAGCCACTCCCAAAAGTCGCTTTTGGCCGGTTGAAAATAATTTTTACATTGCCAGAGCTGGCTCATCACTAAAGATTAGAACTTTAGTTTAAAACTGTATGTCACTATGCATGCAAATGCGATCAGCAAAACTGAT